GTGTGTGTGTGTGTGTGCGACAGTGTGAGTGACTTTGTGTGTGTGTGTGTGAGTGTGTGACAGTGTGAATTTGTGAGTGCGACAGTGTGAGTGAGTTTGTGTGAGTGTGCGACTGTGTGAGTGTGCGACAGTGTGAATTTGTGTGTGTGTGTGACAGTGTGAGTGTGCGACAGTGTGAGTGAGTTTGTGTGAGTGTGCGACTGTGTGAGTGTGCGACAGTGTGAATTTGTGTGTGTGTGACAGTGTGAGTGTGCGACAGTGTAAGTGAGTTTGTGTGAGTGTGCGAGAGTGTGAGTGACTGTGTGAGTGTGCGACAGTGTGAGTGACAGTGTGAGTTTGTGTGAGTGTGCGACAGTGTGAGTGAGTTTGTGAGTGTGCGAGTGTGCGACAGTGTGAGTGACTGTGTGAGTGTGCAACAGTGTGAGTGAGTTTGTGTGTGTGTGCGACAGTGTGAGTGAATTTGTGTGTGTGTGTGTGTGTGTGCGACAGTGTGAGTGTGTGACAGTGTGAATTTGTGAGTGTGCGACAGTGTGAGTGACAGTGTGAGTTTGTGTGTGTGTGCGACAGTGTGAGTGAATTTGTGTGTGTGTGTGTGTGTGCGACAGTGTGAGTGAATTTGTGTGTGTGTGTGTGTGTGCGACAGTGTGAGTGAATTTGTGTGTGTGTGTGTGTGTGCGACAGTGTGAGTGAATTTGTGTGTGTGTGTGTGTGTGCGACAGTGTGAGTGAATTTGTGTGTGTGTGTGTGTGTGCGACAGTGTGAGTGAATTTGTGTGTGTGTGTGTGTGTGCGACAGTGTGAGTGAATTTGTGTGTGTGTGTGTGTGTGCGACAGTGTGAGTGAATTTGTGTGTGTGTGTGTGTGTGCGACAGTGTGAGTGAGTGTGTGTGTGTGTGTGTGTGTGTGACAGTGTGAGTGTGCGACAGTGTGAGTGACAGTGTGAATTTGTGAGTGTGCGACAGTGTGTGTGAGTTTGTGAGCGTGCGACAGTGTGAGTGACAGTGTGAGTTTGTGTGTGTGTGTGACAGTGTGAGTGTGCGACAGTGTAAGTGAGTTTGTGTGAGTGTGCGACAGTGTGAGTGACAGTGTGAATTTGTGAGTGTGCGACAGTGTGTGTGAGTTTGTGAGCGTGCGACAGTGTGAGTGACAGTGTGAGTTTGTGTGTGTGTGTGACAGTGTGAGTGTGCGACAGTGTAAGTGAGTTTGTGTGAGTGTGCGACAGTGTGAGTGACAGTGTGAATTTGTGAGTGTGCGACAGTGTGTGTGAGTTTGTGAGCGTGCGACAGTGTGAGTGACAGTGTGAGTTTGTGTGTGTGTGTGACAGTGTGAGTGTGCGACAGTGTAAGTGAGTTTGTGTGAGTGTGCGACAGTGTGAGTGACAGTGTGTGTTTGTGTGTGTGTGTGTGCGACAGTGTGAGTGTGCGACAGTGTGAGTGACAGTGTGAGTTTGTGTGAGTGTGTGCGATAGTGTGAGTGAGTTTGTGTGTGTGTGACAGTGTGTGTGAGTCAGACAGACAACATTCAGCTGATTTCATATCGAACATCAGACGCATTACAGACAGATATCAAATACCACCAGACTCAATCATTACTCCATTCATGTACCATAGTAGTTACATGCCGCTGCAGAGTACTGTTATTTGCTATCATTGTTTATCGCGTTATTGCGGTCATTGTAGAAATGCAAGTCAAGTCAGTTTTATTTTTACTTTTAGATTAGATTAAACTTTATTGTCACTGTGCAGAGTACAAATACAGAGCCAATGAAATGCAGTTAGCATCTAACCAGAAGTGCAAATAACAAAATATATAAATATAGAATATGTGTATATACATTAAGCTTTATGACATATAGTGCAAGTTATGAGGTAGAAGGGCAGAGACCAGCTCAATGCAAATGACTGGACATACAACATAGGGTGCAAAAGAAGGAGAAACAGAAGGTGCATTATACAGTGAGCTATGTAAATAGCATATGTTTATATACGGCCAATGATCATAACAGTGCGATGGCATCCGGAGGTAGAAATGTGCAAAATAACAGGGAATAATAATAATAACATTGTGAGTGACAGGTTATTGTACAGTGCAGTGTTGTTATTAAGCATTAGGTGGTCTATCTAGGATGTAGTGTTCAGCAGGCTGACCGCTGAGGGAAAGAAACTGTTCCTGAGTCTGCTGATGGGACAGCGGAGACCCCCGATGGGAGAGGAGTGAGCCGTCTGTGAGAGGAGTGTTTGATGAGACTTCTCACTCTGCTTAGGCTGCGTTTGTGCTAAACGTCTTTGATGGAGGGTAGCTTGACACCAGTGCAACGGTGAAGACACACAGAGTTCTAAAGCATACCGTGCATGTTTGAGTCACGTTATGTGGCAATATAAAGGATCCGCCGGTTTGAGTGTGAAATGCCTGTAAATGAGCGACAGGCTGGTGAAAGTTCAGAATGGAGTCAGGCTTTAACCAGCTAGTTATGAGCTCGTGATGTTCTCATGCCATCTTTGTGTCAATTGAAATAAAAGTGTTTAATGAATAAGTTGACATCTTCAGCTGAGATGTTTCAGACTAGGTTAAAGCTTTCTTCCTTCTGTGGAGCACAAAAGAAGAGATTTTGAGAAATGTGTTTGCTCATATGATGAAAGTCAATGGGGTCCATGCTGTTTGGTTCTTTAAATGATCTTCTTTTGTGTTCAACAGAAGAGAGAAAATCACAGAGGCTAGAATGCGGATTTTGTCTCATCAGGCCGTTAGGAAGCATTTATCAATCTATATCTCATACTAGCTTCTGATTGGAGGGTTTGATCATGTGACTGCAGATGTCGTATTGATCTTCAGTTCTGCATTTCCTCACAGGAATCGGCATCTGTTTATGGGAAGGAGAGTTTGTGTTCGACCCAAAGCTCCAGAAATGAATATGAAAGGGTTGTCTTGCATCTTATAGAGGAACATCAGACAAAGATCTGTGCTTGTGTCGTAATGTTCATGTGTTATTTTTCTCTTTAGATTCAGTGAGAACGTCTGGATCCGAAACCGTTGTGTTCTTCATACTTCATACACATTAAACTTTCTGCAGTTACTATGGGAACGGCGGCATTTTCTTGTGTAGCATACGGTTTCTTCTCGTGTGATTTTGGGCTGAGATCACGCGTGTGATCACACACTCACAGATCTCTCGTGTTTCTCAGGATCCAGGAGTTTAAGGCAGTTCTGAGCAACCAGAAGATTGATCTCAAGGCTTTGCGTGAGCTCTGCTTCAGCGGTAGGTCCTGTGTGTGTGTGTGTGTGTGTGTGATTGAGTGTGTGTGTGTGTGTGTGTGATTGAGTGTGAGCGTGCTTGCGTGCGCGTTTGTGTGAGTGAGTGTGCGCGTGAGTGTGATTGTGTGTGTGTGTGTGTGTGTGTGTGTGTGTTCACCATCTCATCCGTGTCTCACAGGGGTCCCGTGTGAAGGAGGCATCCGCGCGCTCTGCTGGAAGGTCAGTGTCTGATCTGAGTCTCATGTAAATAAATGAAGAATCAGAATGATGCAAATATTCTCCTGCATTTCTCAGATCCTGCTGAATTACCTGCCGCTGGATCAGGCGTTATGGGAGGCGTTCCTGAAGAAACAGAGGTTACACACACACTCACTAAGATTCTCTCTCACACACACACACACACACACACACTAACTCACTGACACACACACACACTAACTCACTGACACACACGCACACTCACTGACATACGCACACACACACACACACACTTACTCACACACACACACACACAGGTTGATTATGCTGATGTGCTTGATTGTGATTGGTCAGGGATCTGTACGCTCAGTTTTTGCGAGAGATGATCATCCAGCCGGGAATCGCCAAGGCAAACCTGGGAGTGTCTCGAGACGTGACGCTGGAGGATCACGTGAGTCCGTCTGAGAGCATCACAGTCTAAACACTGAAGAACAGCTCAAGAAAAGGGCTTCAAACCGTAGCCTTGATCCTGACGTGTCTGAAGAGGCTCTTGTGATGTTCTTCTCTCGTCTCCAGCCTCTGAATCCGAACCCGGACAGTCGGTGGAACACCTACTTCAAAGACAACGAAGTTCTGCTGCAGATCGATAAAGACGTCAGGTGACTGATGAGACGCGAGATCATTCAGCAAACCAGCGAGGAGCAAATTAACACTTCATAAACCAAGACACTCACTGTTATCCTGATTAAAAATTTTTGTTTTGTTCCTCATTTGAAAGTTTTGAAATATTTTTACTATGTTTTCTATATGAATCTCTGTTAAACTGTAATGTATTTCTGTGATGCGCAGCTGTATTTTCAGCATCATTCCTCCAGTCTTCAGTGTCACATGATCTTCAGAAATCAGTATAATATGCTGCTCGAGAAACATTTATTATTAATATTATTGTGTTGAAAACAGCAGAGTAGATTTTTTTCAGGTTTCTTTGATGAACAGAAAGTTCAGAAGAACTGCATTTATCTGAAATGGAAATCTTTTGTAACATTTATAAATGTCTTTATCATCACTTTTGATCAATTTAAAGCATCCTTGCTAAATAAAAGTATTAATTTATATAATTTCTTTCCCAAAAATCAAAAAAAAAAATGATACTGACTCCAAGCTTTAGTGTATAATGCTACATAAGCTTTTTATTTCAGATAAATGCTGATCTTTAGAACTTTCTATTCACTAAAGAAACCTGAAACAATTTACTCAACTGTGTTCAACATTGCTAATAATCAGAAATGTTTCTCGAGCAGCAGATCAGCATATTATACTGATTTCTGAAGATCATGTGACACTGAAGACTGGAGGAATGATGCTGAAAATACAGCTGCGCATCACAGAAATACATTACAGTTTAACACATATTCACATAGAAAACAGCTGTTTTAAATAGTAAAAATATTTCAAAATGTTTCTGTTTTTGCTGTATTTTGGATCAAATAAATGCAGGC